CGGGACCTCACTGCAAGAGTGGGTTTGGGATTCTGAATCCACTTGGATTTGTCCAATGAGCCCTGAGGTCATGGGACCCACCTTGATCCCATCTGCAGAGTCCATTCCGCACCATGTAAAGTAACAAATTCATAGGTTCCAGAAATGAGGTCAAGTCTATTATGTACCCAACACAAGCACATGCCCGCCATACGCATGCATGCACACAGGCACACATTCTTACTACTGAAGTCCTCTACCGGAGCTAAGCCTTACAGCACTCTGCATCAGCAGCCTAGACACACCTGAAAATATGAATCGACCTTGGTCAGTGACTAATACAAAAGAATATGAAATGCAAAACAGGACAGAGTGTGACAAGGGCGGGCAGCCATTTCAATACATTCCTGCAAGAAAGGAAAAACAAAAGGCTCTGGAGGAAGTCAGCTTCCCTCAGAGCTTTGCCAGCTTTGGGGCCTGATCTGATGGGCAGCCTGGAGGGGGAAGTGCAGCCTGCAGGAAGGGGTGGAGGGGGATGGATCAGGGGATCGGTTACAAATGTCTGCATTCCAGGCACAATGCACAACTCCTGCTAAAATGTGCCCAGTGTTGTTTTAGGGGGAATGAAGGAAGTCTCAGTCCTATAATATATAAAACACCACTGTGTTTCAATCCTTTTCCAGGATCACTGTCACAGTCTGTTTTATTATCTTTCAAAGGAATAAAGGGAAACTGATGTTTTCCCTGGGGGCTAGTTTTAAGAGCAGTCACAAGTTAATTATACCGGATATGTAATTAAAGTCACAGTACTTAGAATTGAATTGTCTGCTGCCTGGATAGCCCCTGACATGACCATCATCACCATCACCAGCACCATCATCATCATCATAGCTCCCACCTGGCCCAAGGCCCCGGAACCTGAACCCTCCCCATGCCACAGTGGATGTCAGAACTGGGTCAGCAGGGCCGCTGAGGGTCTTTGTTAAGACAACTTGCCCAGGTCCCCATAACCACTTCTAGCCACTCAGTCTGCTCTCATCGGTGCCTCATCCTCCCCTCTCCAGATCAGACCCAGGGCCCTTTCTTCCTGAAAGCCCCAGTAAAGCTTTTCCTAGAAACAAGGAACCTGCCACTTTAGGCAGCAGAAGGCACCAACAAGGCCTGGGGTTGTGCACATTTGTTGTCGGCCTCTGCAGTTGGATTCTAAGGCAAGGGCTGTGGTCAGCCTGTTCTCCCCATCTTCCCCCAGCAATCTCTAAACTCCAGTGGGACAGACAGGACTCTCCCCTGCACAGCAAACCTCAGGAATCTGTTCTGAACTTCCCCACTCCCATCTGTGGGATTTACCTACTACTAGTTCCCTGGGGAGCTCATGTTTTTGGAGGCTGGGGTCTACAGTTTATACACTGTCCTTTTCAGGCTCTCACACTTGGTAGATGCTCTTGCTACAGTTCTTGACTTGTTGGCATAGATTTCAGAAGACGCATAGAAACAAGGGCCCTGTGTATGTCAAGGCCGGCTCTCCAGTGCCCTGGGCTTTGCTCCCAGGGAGAACCAAGCCTAGCTGGGGGCAGGACGCACACCCTGGAGTAACCTAGAACAACACAGAACAGGTTGGAATAGGTGAGTACTAGCTAAGGGCTGAACTGGACCCTTCCACCCACATCTATCCAGTATCACGTGCCTCCGGGGCTATTTCCCAATCCATGCAAGGGGCTGGCTTTGACACATTAGGAAGGTCTTGCCCTGGGAAAGCTTGGAGTCCACAGGACAGGGCAGGGCAGGAGAGCAAAAACACTCGACCTGTGGGCCTAGCTCTCATGTCAACTCACGCAGGCTATGGGCTTTACCTCTCACTGAAACACAGAGCCAGGAATGTCTGCCCCAATGGGGTACCACTGATGCAGGAGGGCTCTGCTTGATCCACAGTGAGTGCAAGAGGGAAACACAGAATGGGTGGCTGAGGAAGGCTGCCCCTCCCGGGCATACCAGCAGAGGTCACTTTTCCGACCTAGCAGGCCTCACACCAGGCAACCACACCCTTGCTACAGAAGATGTTGTTAATCAGCTGATCTGCTGCCCTGGGCTGAAGAGTTCCCAGATCCCTGGCTTGCCAACACCATGTCGTCCAGGTTAGTGATCCCCAGGCCAAGCCAAGACAACTTCTGGGATCACTGTGCAGCCTGTGTGTCCAGAGGCAAGCCTAGCTGAAAACAGACAGAGGCCATCTCCCTTCCATGCTCCGGCTGGAAGTCCTGGTTGAACTTCTCAGGGTAAGTGAGAAGGACATCTGGTGAATTGTCTGCCTGCTCTTCCTCTGGCACCTGTACCCTTCTGGGAGGCTCACAACTGACCCTCTCCCCTTCTCCCATGTGCACACGCAGTGCGTGTGGGATCCAAGCCCAGCCTACCCTCCCAGAGAATGTGAGATTGGGAGGAAGGGGATAGCTCCCTTGACCGCCTGGATTGTAATGATGTGTCTGAAGCCAGACCCCAGCTCCAAGGAGGCCTCTGGGAGGACATGGCCAGCCTCCAGAGGCCAAGACTGAGATGGAACCACTAAGAACGAGAGGTCTGCTCACAATAGGCTCTCCTGCTGCCCCCCAGGTCCCCAGAGCTGACCTCCCTGGCTTCTGTGAGCATGCCAGCCTTCTCAGTCTTTTGTGCTTAAGCTAGTGCAAGTTCCATTTCTGAAGAGGCCCTGGATGAGGACAAATTGCTTCCAAAGGAAGCATGAAGGTCTACTCGACTCCTTTCCTGGCTACTGGGATCACCAGTTGCTAAGGGGTATGGGGCATTAGCTGAGGGTAAACCCCAGCTCTGGCATGTCAGGCAGCCTACATCTGTGCCTCAGTTTCTGCATTTATGAAGTGGGGATATGTAGTCCCCCCTTATCCACAGAGGATTTATTCCAAGACCCTCCTGAGACCATGGATTCTACCAACACCTGCAGAGACTGTTTTTACCTATACATACATACCGATGATAAAATTTAATTATAAGTTAGGAACAGTAAGGGATTAACGACCAATAACAACACTGAACAATTGTAACAATACTATAATAAAAGTTACGTGAGTGTGATCGCACTCAAAATATCTTTTTAAAAAAGATTTTATTTATTTATTTGAGAGAGAGAGAGCCTGAGCAAGGGTGGGGGGAGGAGCATGAGCTGGGGGAGGGGCAGAGGGAGAAGCAGACACCTCACTGAGCAGGGAGCCCAAAACGGAGCTTGTTCCCAGAATCTTGAGATCATGACCTGAGCTGAAGGCAGCTGCTTAACCAACTGAGTCACCCAGGCACCCCTCAATATATCTTATTGTAGTGTACTCACCCTTCCTCTTCTCACAATGAGATGAAGTGAGGGGAGTGACCTAGGCATTATGACATAGCATTAGGCTACTATTGATCATCTAATACTACATCTGAAGAAGGATCACCTGCTTCCAGACTGCAGTTAGAACTGAGGGTAACTAAAACCTTGGAAAGCAAAACCACGGATAAGGGGTGGGGGGAACTACTGTAACAAAATACCAGTTTCAGGATGTGATTGTGAGTTTACAATGTAGGGAGCCTGAAATAAACATCAGGTGAAGGCACAAGGCAGCCTCGAGAAGTGGAGCTAGAAATGGCTGCATTTACCCACAGTGGTGAGATTTGGAGCACTGGGCACTGCAGCCTGTCCTACACAGAGTGGCCCCTTAGTGAGTGAGGCAATCCTTCAAGTCATTCTAATGGTCCCTTCACCTGCTGCCTGGCTGCACCGTCTTATCCTCTTTCACCAGGACTCCAGCAACATATGCATGCAGTACTTATCAAGCAGATGGATTTTGACCACATGTTGTGTGACAGGATGGGGGAGGGCACATAGAAGGATGGGGAACATGAGGAGCTGAACTTGGGGAAATAGGCAGTGACAGGAAGTCTCCAGCACCAAGAAGGGGAAGCACAGAACTCCTGTGAAGTCATTGAGGGACACCTGCACCTCCCCGACTGTGGGGCCTCTCTGAGCAAGCAGTGTCTAAGTTTAGGAAAACAAACGTTAGCCAGGCAAAGAAGGCGGGAAGTGTTCCAGAACAGAAGGAATACCATGGGTTGGTTCTTCACTGGTCTTCCTGACTCCTTGCCTGGCTCACCTCCCACGAGCTCAATGAGAGCCAGAAGCTTCTTTTAGAAAGAAAACTTAGTCACTCCACTGTTTAAAACCACTCAATGGGGCTTCTGGAAATAAAATTCTAACTCCTTGGCTCTTTCTTCCCGGTCCATGTGGTGAACCTCATCTTTTAGACGACCCATTCCTTCAGGAGCCCTCTTGTCTGACTCCTCCACCCCAGCGCCTATTTCAATCACAGGGGTACAAATGGACATGAGAATTTGTATTAAACAAGCTAGAAATAGATAAAGCAGGTATTTTACACACGTGTAGGAGGAGAAAGACAAGATCAGGAAAGGGTCCAGGCACTCCTGCAGGCTGCCCCGAAGCATACCTCGGGGTTGATGAGTGGCTGTTGCACACCTGACCGCCCCGCCCCTCACCCCTGACGTCTGGTCCTCCGCCCCCAGGGCACTGTGCCGCGCACAGAGCGGGAACCCCATCCACCGAGGCGGGCAGCTCAGGCCCAGCCGCTCCTGCATCGCAGACTGCGCCCACCACCTCTGAGGCGCAGGTTCAGGCGCCACACACCACGAAATGAATGGAGGTAGGAACGCTGCTCAGAGCCCCGGGCACCGGGATGCGCAGACTCCAGAACTGTGGGGAGGACCCCGCCCCCGGTCGCTACTTGCCAATAAGCAGGGGCGGCGAGTTTCACGCCCGCCCCCGCCGACCGCGCCTTCTGCCAATGAGCGAGGCCCGGGAGGCCAGCTGCCGAGCCCAGCCCCGGCCGGCGCACGCCGCTGTTCGCGTGTCAGGCTCCAAATAAAGTTCGTCCGGGCTTTGAATTTTTTTTTTAAAGCGCCCGCTGCCGTCGCGGCCGCCGCGGACGAGAGTCGCCGAGTCCCCGCCCCGCTACTTCCGGTCCCGCCGCCCGGAGCCGGTGCGGCTGTGAGGGGCCGTGTGTCGCCGCCGCCGGCCGGCCGGGCATGGTGTTGGGTGCCGGGCCCGCCTCACCTGTCTCGGGGTGCCCAGGTGAGCAGCGCGCAGCCCCGAGGCGGGAGAGGGGCGGCCGCGGGCCTCCGGGCGGCGCAGGTACCGCGGGCGGGCCGGAGGGCGGGCGGCGCCGGGGCCGCCTCAGGCCGCGCGCTTCTCACGGCCGGGCGCCGGCGGCGCGGGGCCGGACTGCCTGACTGGGAAAGGGCCGGGGCGCCGGCCGCCGCCGGGCTCGAGGGGCAGCCCGCAGCCAGCGCCTGCTTGTGCCGGCGCCCACACGGCCTCACTCGAGCCCGCCGTCGCGGGGGAGCCGCGGGCCGCATTGTCCAGAAGGAAACGGAGCCCAAGGTCACCAGCCCGCCGAGGCGGGGGGCCGCGGGACTCGGACGCGGGCCGTCCGACTCCTCCGCCTCGGGAGTCCGGCTAGGCCCGGAGAGCGGCGGGGGTGGGGAGGGGGACTCACGGCTCGCCAACCCGCCGGGAGCTGCCCGGCGGCTGGGGGCGGCCTCGACTCCTTCGGAGGATTTTACCCTCACGGGGGGGGGGGGGGGGGGAGGGTATCTTGGAATGATCTGAACAACAGGTCTTGGATTCTAGACCCGGTTCCGCTGGTGTGTAATCTTGGGTGTGGCCCTGCCCTTCCAGGGCTCAGTTTCCTCATTTGTCACATGAGGGGACGGGCCCTCCCGTGTCTGCAGTCCCTCAGGCCCTGGAGTGGACGCAGGATGGATTGGAGTGGCCCGAGAAGGTTTCTTGGAGGAGATTCTGGACCCTGGATAGGAATCTAGTGTCCTGAGGAAGGAATAGGAGTACGCGGTGAAGGGAAGGAGGGCACTCCAGACCTGGATATCATCAGATTAAACAGAAGATTCCAGAAATGGGAAAGCTGATGTTGAGGAGCAGGGAGGAAGGCGGCTTGCAAAGGATTTCTCGCTGGGTATGGGGATGAGGGTGGGTGGTGGGGGTCAGAAGGGTGGGAGAGACCTTCAGAGACAAATCATCACTGGGCTGGCTGGTGTGTGGCTTGAGGACCTCCGCCCAGATTTGCCTGCGCTTGAGGTAGTAGGTAGTGCAGGAGGGGGCATGTTTACTGATGAAAATAAAGGGTTGGGCTCCAAAGGTCGGTCTGCCAACCAAGGTGACTCTCCTGCCAGGTGGGAGGTTTCTGGGCCTTGGCATTCTGAAGGAGGAGGGTACAGTGTGGACATTTTTGTGTCCTGATAAGGGCCTCTTTGGCTAGAGAAGTTGGTTGTCCCCTAGTGACCCATCTCTTACTCTTTAAGATTGGGACTTTTCCGCATCAGGAAGATTTGCAAATTTGGAGTTCCTCACTCAGGAGCTGACTGGCTCCTGGTATCCCTCCCTGCACAGGTGACCTGGCCTGATGTTGCCACTACAGGCAGGAATGCCAAGTAAATATGACTTGATGATGAGACCAGTAAATTGCATGCAGGAATCTTTGAACAGCCCAAGAGCAAGTCCCACCCAGAGGAGGAACTAAATGGACTAAACCGGCCGACTGGGACTTGCGGGATAAAGAAACTGAGCATGCTTTTCCGTGCAGCTCATCTTGTCAGCAGAAATGCTGCCCTAACACTGTGTACTCCACAGTCAAGGGGCAGCTCTGGGGCCTTCTATGGGTGAAGCACTGCACGGAAGGAAAGGAGAATCCTGAAGCAACCGCAGGTGTTGGCAAACTTCTTGACAGTTTGAATAATTCTCTTTGTTCAGATCTCTTTATAGAGAATTAATTTAACAGCTAAGGAAACATTTCCAAATTAGGCCTTAGGTTTATCCCTGCAGTGGCATGCAGTAGTAATACAGATGGTGGACAAATAGGTGGTCAGTATACACTTAGATCTTAGAATACTGGGGGTGTTCTCTTTGATAGACAACAACACATGAGTATCCTTGTCTTTTATACCTTTCAGTCAGTGCCCCATCTATTTATTAAGGGCCACAAACTTGAAGATTGCAAGCCAGGAATCCAGCTCTTAGTGGAGTTGAGTATGAGGCATATTGTGCCCACAGAGTAGGCTTCAGTGTGGAGTAGTAGGGGTAGAAAAGAATAAGCAGTGGGAATCCTGGGTGGCTCAGTCAATTGAGCCTCTGATCTGTGGCTTCAGCTAAGGTCTTTATCTCAGGGTCTGGGATCCAGCCCCAAGTTGGGCTCCTCACTCAACAGGGAGTCTGCTTGGGATTGTCTCTCCCTCAACACTCTGCCCCACCCCCCCCCCACCCCTGTGCCTTCCCCCCCCTCTCTAAAAAAAAAAGGGGGGGGGGCAGAATTCTCAGACTGCAGTGACACAGAAGAGTGTCTTGGTGTGAGCCTTTGTAAACAAGTCTTGCCTTGGACCCTCCAAGTGGTTCCTTCAGGGCAGGCCCTCAGGGAGCTGGGTGGAGACCAGGCATGTGTCCTGGCACCTGCTTCTCCATGGGGCTCTTTGTTAGGACTTTCCTAGAGTTCTGCCTACAGAACTCTCTTTACTCATGCTGGGCTTTTTTATTTTTTGCCATATTTGTATTGCCAAGGTCAGCTAGAGGATAAAAACCAATTGGACCTTGTGAAGGATGCTTGTCTTGGTCCATCTTCAGGCAGCCCTAACCAGGTGGCAGGACTGATGTGCTCAAGTCTGGGTGTGTGGTGGTAGACTTGGCTGGGGTGACAAACTCCCTATTGTGATCCCAGTCTGTTTAAGGGATTCCTGACAAGATTATTCCAGGTGGGGGCTGAGCAAAAGAACCTGGCTCTGGATGGTGCTTCTGTTTCTGGTAGGTATAGGCTGGAGCCCCTATGGCTGTTTGACTGTGCCCACCCCAAGCCCCACCCCCTCGTGAAGGTACCAAACCAATACCTCCCTGCCCTGGGTAAAGCTGAGATGTGTGTTGGTTATGGTCCAGGCCGCTGTGTACGTTCATCTGGGGAGATGGCATGGTCAAGTGATAATGAAGAAACTAATGTTGGTTTGTTTTCACATTTGTGTCCACGTTGTTGAGGTATGATTGAAGTATATGAAACTGCACATATTCAAAGTATGCAGTTAGATCAGCTGATGTGTATCTCTATACCCTTAAAACTATCATCACACTCAAAATATTTGCGAAAACATTTTGAAAATGTTTTTTTCAGATGTTTCACAGAAACTGACGTTTTTGTGGTTACTGCTTCTGTCAACTGAGTGGCCTCATCCAAGCCAGATCCCGGGCTCCCATCGTCACAGGATCTATATCAGTTAAAAAAAAAAAAAAAAAAAAAAGAGTGCGACTTGGGGGTTAGAGGGGGAAGTCCTTCCCAGATTTGAAATTTTAGGAGCTTGGAAGGCTAATGTGCAATAGAACCATCTTTTGAAGCATTTAGACCAATGATTCTAAAAGGGATTAGTTGTGTGTTTGTGTGTGGGTCATATACAATATAGAAGATCATATTCAGTAGGTTTCTTTTTTATGGCATACATAATAGAAAATAAAATCTGAAAGTCTTTGGAGGAGGGAAAGATACATAGAATAAGATGATATGAGAAGTAAAAAACCTGGGTGGGAAAAAAAAAAAAAAACCTGGGTGAAAAATGGTTAAAAATACCAGTGTGGGAAGCGTATTCTTATTTTAGCTTTCAGTATTTTGGCCTCAAACTAAAAGTTTTGTGTTTGGGTCAAGTTTCTAATTTGGAAGTTTTAGATCGTTTTTCTTTTGAAAACAATCAGAATGGTATTGAAAGGAAATAATATGAAAGCAACAAAGGAAATTATGGGAATATTGGGCTGGTGACCAGTTTTTGTGTTTTTTTTTGTCCTTTATTGTCCTTCACAGTGAGCTTTCAGTGAGTTTTAGGGGATGCCTGAAGCATAGATGGGTTGGAAGCAGCCACTGAAGAGAATTTAGTTTGGGGCATTAATTATGACTTAATACTGATCTTTATACTGCCTAAAAAATGTAAATAAGACACAACATAAATAAATGCAAAGATGCTTCTTAAGGTTCCAGCCATACCTTGGTTAGAGGAAGAAGAAAAAGAAAGCATTGCTTTGCTTCTTCCTTCCCAGGGCTGATACTCCCTTCAGTCTGCAATGGGCCAGGCACAGGGCACACCACACACACAGGTGCATGGTCCCTGCAGCAGAGAGGGGCACACTTAGCTAGAGCACAGGGGTGGGCCAACATGGAACCCGTTGGTGGAGACTCCCCTAGACCACGAGCTCATGGGAGCTTTGTCACCACTGTGTCCCAGGGCTTGGTGCCCAATGAGTATTAAATGCATGGCTCTCCCTTCTTAAAATTTTTGTGTACTTTAAAAAATTAGACTTACAGAGGATGGCATGGAGATTTCCCAAATTAATTATAAAGGAATGCAGTCTTACGAATGCGCCTTATCTGCTGAATTTTTCTGTAACTTAATTATAGGAAAAAGTTAACCACCTTTGGCCTGGTCTTCAATTTCCAGTCATTGTCTAGAGACGTGTCCATAACCCTGCCTTTGGTCTGTCTCAGGGTAAAGGTAGCAGTAATGCTGACGCTGGCAAGCAAACTGAAGCGGGAGGACGGTCTCAAAGGGTCCCGGACGTCAGCCACGGCCTCCGACTCCACTCGGAGAGTGTCTGTGAGAGACAGGCTGCTTGTTAAAGGTAATGTAATCCTTGTGAGCTGGTGTCTCTCCTGTAACAAAATGAACTCTGACTGGAGGCTGTTTGGAGATATGAAGCACCCATTTGCTGAGTGGGAATACCTATTTGAAAATATCTAAAAATATAATTGCCTATCGCTTTCAAAGACTTTGCACTATGGGAATACTGAGGACAAGAAAATGTGGTACGTCTTACACACTTGGAATATGCTCTGTAGAGGCTGCCAGAATGCCTGTGGGAGGACTCTGGTACTCTGGTCTCAGTGCTGTCAGTGTCTGGCTGGTTGTGGGCTGGGAGTGGGGAGGGGGGGTGTATCTTCCTTTCTTGTGCTTAGTCCCAAGGAGTTCCAGACTCCCTCTCTTAACACCTCAGCACCAGTTTCTGGTCTATAAAGGGAGGGAGTGGAATTCAGTAATCTCTAGGATCCTTCCGTACCTTATTCAAGTCATAGCCTGAAGAGAGCCTTGTACAAAATTAGTTCCCTTCACAGAATTAATAACTGAGTGTCCTAGAGCTGTAGTCTTTGGAGAAGGGTTTTTTTTTTTGTTTTGTTTTGGTTTTTTTTTAAAGATTTTATTTATTTATTTCACAGAGAGAGATCACAAGTAGGCAGAGAGGCAGGCAGAGAGAGAGATAGAGGAGGAAGCGGGTTCTCTGCGGAGCAGAGAGCCCGATGCGGGACTCGATCCCAGGACCCTGAGATCATGACCTGAGCCGAAGGCAGAGGCTTAACCCACTGAGCCACCCAGGCGCCCCTGGAGAAGGGTTTTTATAGTGTGTGTGTGTGTGTGTGTGAATATGCATGCGTTTGTATGGCATTTTTGCATTCATTCATTAATCAAACTTGTAACTGTCAAGTGCAAAGGCAGTTTCCTGGGGTCATGAGGACTACAGAAGAGGAGGAAGACAGAGTTCCTGCCTTAAGGAGCTTAGAATTTGCAGCACTTTTTACTTTATGGCATGTGTCTACATTTCTTAAGTGTAAAGGAGCTAGGAAGCAATGAGCTATACACTTGGTTAGGACTGCCTGTTTTCATGTTGTATCAGGTAGACACCATGAGTTGGCTGGCATCTGTGTGTCCTGAAACAGACATAACGGCAGGAGAGCTGGTGTGGGTGGATGCACTGTTTGTCCTCGGGAACAAGGCACTGCTGAGCTTGGCAGGAGTGGCACTAGGAAGGCATCAGTTTTAGGGAGTCTTACGTGTTGCGCTCTTCCTTATTTTTTCTGCCCCTGAATCTGGCCTTGGCGCTGGTTTATCCAGCCTGGTGGATGATTGGCTAGTGATGGAGTAAGAATCATTTCTTAGGTTTTGACATTACCCACTATGTCAGACTGAAATCATAATTTGTGATGGCACTGCAGCGGTCAAGAGGGTGGGACATGAGCTACCGTTCCTCGCTTGGATGGTCCTGATACAACTTGAGTCTCTTTCTCAGATGCTGGCTCAAGGGTTCCATCTGCGGAGGAAGCCAGGATCCAAGCAAGCTGGGGAAGGGGTTTGATGTGATATCACGGTCCTTAAGTGGAGGGTGTTTAGTGCCCCGGAGCTACAGTGAGGAAGGCCCAGATAGTAGCTACAGAGGAGCAGGTGGAAGCAGCGAGTAGGCTGTCCTCTGTCTTCTTCACTATGTCCTTGTGGTTAATAGCTTTTGTACACAGGGCACTTGGAACCAGGCCCTCTGTTGGACACTTTATAGGGCACTTCTTGTTTGACTTTTGCTCAGCCTTGCCAGGTGGGTGGTTCATTCTGGAGCTAAAGGACTGAGACTCAGAGAGGTTAAGAAATGTGCCCAGAGGGGTGCCTGGTTGGCTCAGTGGGTTAAAGCCTCTGCCTTCGGCTCAGGTCATGATCCCAGTGTCCTTGGGATCGAGCCCCACATCGGGCTCTCTGCTTCACGGGGAGCCTGCTTCCTCCTCTCTCTCTCTGCCTGTCTCTCTGCCTACTTATGATCTCTGTCTGTCAAATAAATAAATAATATCTTTAAAAAAAAAAAAAAGAAAAAAAAGAAATGTGCCCAGATTACAACTTTTTTGTAGCAGCACAGCCACACCCACATTCTGGGGGTGGGGTAGGCTCTAGCGGAGCAGACCGAACAAGCAGAAACTGAATGAGCAGAAGGGCACATCCACTGAAGAGAGCATTCAAGGAGGTTCTGGGGCTTCTGCACATGTCCACCCTGCTCAGGGATTCACCTGGCAGCTCTCAAAGGGCTCTAGGGCCTGATGCAGCCCTGGGGAGCCCATGGAGGCTCATAAGGCTAGACTCCGCCCCCACTCCCAGGACAGATGTCTTTGGCTGGGTTTACAGGGCCTTGCTAAGGTCCTTTGACTTTGTGAGACTCATCAGAGAGAGAGGTGCAAAACCACCTTGTGGGGCCACCTGTTTCCATCCTCCCAGGGCACTGGTGATGATCAGGTTTCTGGGGTAGTTGTAGGCAGCAGGGCTCAGTGTAACACAGACCTCATGTGGCCTGCTCCCTCTTTCCTCAGGGGACTGTTGGACCAGGCTGGGCTGGCTGAGTGGTGAGCAGTTTGGGCATTTGGGGAGTGTGGGTAGAGAGCAAGGGTCGGCCTGGCCTGAGAGAAGGGGCTGTGAAGAGCAGATGTATAATGAAGGATGCTCTGATGGTCCGTGATTGCCCGATCTGCACCTAGAGCACTCCTTTGCTTGGCTGGATTTGGGGGATGTCTTCATTCTGGGGATTTCAGATGGGAGAAGTGGTGTGTGGAGTCTAGGAGTCCATGGCCTTGTGGGGCACTTGAGGGGTGATTATGGTGAAGTTCTTTCTAGGGAATGTCCCCTTTGAGAACTTGGAGAGAAGTTGGATGTCTGAGTTCAACAAGATTGCTATAGTCAGCACTGTCCTCCTGGTCTGTGGCTTTGGCTTATGTGGGAATGTTACTCAGGACAATCATTAGTTTGTAGAAAAGTGTGTTAATGTGTCTTGGGATTCAGCGCCATAGGCTGGATTCCTAGGATTGGGGAATTTGGTATCAGGATAGTTAAAAATGAGTATCCCTGGGACTGATACCCATGGAGGGAGGTGAAGGACTCAGGAACAGGCAGAGCAAGAAATCAAACTCTGGGGAAGGCCCCAGACAGCTTCTGCTTTGGGCAAGCATAGCCTTCAGAGCAGTCCCCAGTCAAGTGAGATGGTCAGGTTTTCCTGCTCTGCATGGATCAGTTGCCAGAGGGGCTGCCCTGAGAGGAGTGAGGAGCCTGGGTGAGGGGGTCTGTGCAATCTACATAGTCCTGGAAGGACTGAGAGCTGAAGGCCATCTGCTGAGAGCCCTGTGGAGGTCTGAGGAGGCAGGGAGGGATATGTATCCCGTGGCCCAAAGGTACAGGATCTGGCTTGGTGCAGATGGCAATAGGGTTGAGCTGATAGATGGGGGAGATTGGAGGTTGGCAGGAACAGTTACCGGTAATGGTAAGGGCTGGTAGTGGCTGCAGAGCTGTAGCTCCTGTTCCTTTTCTTGCCTTTGGAAGGCTGTAATCCACTGTCCATGGAAAAACCGTAGCCTACCTTGGAGCAGCTGGCCGGGGGAGGCCTCTGCTCTGCCGGTACCTTGGTCACAACAGCTTTTCATTTGCACCCCTTAGGTAACTCAGGGACATCCTCCGGACTGGAACTGGAAGGATGCTTGTAGCAGCAGTCCCTGGAGGGTGTGGAATAATCGAGTGTTTCTGGGCTAGGACTGAGGGCTGCTGTTTGCCCTGAATCCTAGGAGCTGGGGACACTGGAGAGTGTCAGATCTGTGCAGGTCTGGTCCTAACTGGGGAGCTATCACCGGTGTTTTTAGTCACAGGGCAGATCGTGCTGAGTTCCTGGTGGACCTTTGTGGGGCCACTGAGTCCATAAAAGTTCTAAGTCTGACAGTGCACCCTACCTGCCAGAAAAGCCTAGCAGGGTCTTAGCTAGCCCAAGCTTGGCACTTTTTGTATAATGGGATTGTGTGTGTCTTCTTCTTTCATTTCTTCGTTCAGGAGGCATTTGAATCCCTGCTGTGTGCCAGCCTATTGTTAGTGATCCCTAAAGACCCCAGAGGGCTCCAGGCACCCTGGCAGGAACCTTTCCCCTCTATTGTCTTTGTTAAATGTGGAGACTTGGATTGAGCTGAGTTCAGGGTCAGTTCTGGAATTAGGGGAGTAAGAGGGAATGAATCTGTGTATGCCTTTATCCATCCCAGTCCTCACATCTCAGGTGGTTCCTGGCATCTGGGGGTGTGGTATGTGGCCCTCCATGCTCCAGGCCTGGCTGCCCACCTACATGTGCTTCCCGGAGTCCAGGGTGCAGGTGCCTCCTTAGGTCAGCTGCTGTGTCCACATGAGCAGTCATGGGATGGGATAGGAAGGGCCCTATTCCAATGGAGTTTCTGGAAGAGTGGGGGAAAGAGAATCATTTATTGTTCTCCAGAGCTGCTTTCTCTGTGCCGGGCCCTGCCCAGGACTCAGAGGGTGGGCTCAGGGGCTTGCCATGCTGGCAGAATATTCAGAGCACTTAGCAGCACTACAGTATGTATTTTAAAAACCTGAAGAGTGGGGCGCCTGGGCGGCTCAGTGGGTTAAAGCCTCTGCCTTCGGCTCAGGTCATGATCTCGGGGTCCTGGGATTGAGACCCACATTGGGCTCTCTGCTCAGTGGGGAGTCTGCTTCCCTCTCTCTGCCTGCCTGCCTACTTGTGATCTCTCTTTCTGTCAAATAAATAAATAAAATCTTAAAAAAAAAACAAAAACAAACAAACCCTGAAGGGTGCCTGGCTGGCTCAGTTGGTAGAACTCATGACTCTTGATCTCGGGGTTGTGAGTTTGAGCCCCATGTTGGGTGTAGAACTTACTGAAACATAAAATCTTAAAAGATAGTAAAAATAAAAATAAAAAATAATAGCTGGAGCAGTGGCCCAGAGAAGAAGAATCCTGGTAAAATGGAGCTAAGGCAGCTGGCTCCAAGGTTAACCTTTAAAAAAAGGCTTTGTTGAAGGGTTAACTACCAGTC